AATCTGCACTAAAAGGAAATATTGTTGGGTGGTATGTTAGGGTTGAAAGACTTATGAACTGATCGTGATGCTGCCAGGAAGAGTGAAACTCATTCTCTCTCTTTTGGTACATAAAATAATCTTTACTGCTACATGTCACACGAAGAAATGTACATATTTGTTATATACAGAAATTCCTTATATTTGCTCCTCTATACAGCAACATGCAAGATTTAACTACAAACACAATGACTAGAAAGATCTTCTGAGGAAAATACCTCTGAGATACCCAGGATTCACAAGTTCGGGCACTGTCTTAAAATTCAGTTCAATCATCCCTTATCCCTTTGTCAGATCCCAAAGTGCTAGTACATGCAAATAGGTCAGCTACCCATTTTTCCAAGAGCAAGAGGACCCTTGCTGAAGAAAGCTTGGGAGCTAGCAAAGGAAGTGAGACTAGCAACACCTCAGCCCTTTCCACAACACTGACATTTATTTCGTATGAGATTACTTGAAAATGAACTAAGTAAAGTAAGGCTGAGATTTGGAATTATTTCAACAGGTGACATGATATTTTGACCCATCAGGAAGAAATGAAATAAATAGGCACATGTTCCCTCCTCTCTGTCATGGTTTCCTACTTTCCTAATTTTCAAGGGGAAAAAAAAAAATCACTATTCCATGTATTCTGATTTTCTGCAGAATAACTGTAGGAGCATCTGAAGATTAATACAGATCAAAATAGAGCTGGAAGCTCTGCAGTGAAAAGGTTTAAAATAAAAGAGCTTTTGGAAGGTCTATGGATTGTAGTGTGGAGCTAAACCCTGACCATAGCAAAAGCACTCCACTGTGACATAGAGACCTGGAGGGAAAGGAAAAAGCATTAAAAGTGGATCGATTCATGTAAGGGAATGATTGTAAGAAACATCCCCCAAACTGCCAAACTCCCAAACTGCACATACTCTTTCAACTGTTCCTTCACTGTGGATGCTTAAATAGGTTTTAGGGATGAAGGGAGAATACTTGGAAAAGAAATCCACCAACTTATTAAGAAGAGAAGCTACTTTTTTACTTTATCAGTTATCTTCACTAACCATCACCTAGTCTAGTACATCCTGTGTGCAGAAAATATTTGGTGAGAACAATCTTAAGGGAAGTTTCATGTGCACTTCCTCGTCTCTCAGCATCTCTCTGGCTCTGGGTTTTTGCTGGCCTCAGGAAAAATCAGAATTCAACAGGCAAAAGGAGGTATTCCACCCAAAAACTGAGCGGCGTGTTTCAAAACGAAAATTAATTTAGAACAAACAGAGCTAAGGTAGCCCATCTTAACCAAAACCTTTGTAAGAGAGAATGCGAACACAGTTCAGAAATGGTCCTTCACACTGCAAGGGAGGTCACTCCTCCACCTCACACCAGCTAACGGAGCATCTGGCAGTACACTGAGGAAAGAGGCTGCCAACTCTGTCTCTGATGCCACGTACATCAGTTATGCTGCATGTCCACACGCACTGAGAGCACATTTCCAATTAGACTTTACATCTTGCTTTGGAAAAACACTGGCTGAGTACCAGAGGAAACAAAATGAATATGCTTCTTTCCCCCCCCCACCCAGTATTTCTGCACAGAAGATCAACTGAGAAAGCTGCTGGAATGGAGAGGAAGCAGATAATAGTTTGGAGAAGTGACACCTTGGAAACGCAGGGTGAAAGTATCAAAACAACAAAGAGAGCCTGAAAGGAATCAAGCCTTTGTTGTGCGTATGTGTAAAACACTTTAATTTCATTATTTCAGGTAAATATTTCAAGCCTAAACTTTTTCTATACCTGACATTGCATCTCAATAAAGGTCTTTCCTATAAAAAATATGAATTTACTCCTGATCTCCGCAACACATTGAACTGAATTGACATTGGCTCAGGAACTGCTCAGCCAAAGAGTTTGGCCACCAGCCTCCTCTGTACAATCAATCCACTTGGAAAATACCTGTCTTTATAGTGTCCTATGCAACCTCTCTTATTGAGCCAGTATTGAGGGCATTTTCATAACAGAAAGGGAACCAAAAATTGCACTTAGTGGAACAACAACATTAAAGAAAAGCAACTGAAAAGCACTTACCTTTATTTCAAACTCATAGTGCTCATCCTTTCCCTGCCCACACAGGACATACCGTGGAATACTAATTTTAATTGGGTCCTTTAGGTCGTCTGGATTTGCTCCCAGTGAACGACAGACCATCCGCTTTCATGTGCATACCAAATAGGGAGAACAAAGGAAAACCAAAATCACTACATAAGGAAAAAAAGAAAAGAACTTCACTAAAAACGAGGATGTGTTCTTGGCCAGAAGAGTAGGAATAGAGAGCATGAAAGAAGCAGAAATTATTTCTAAAACGAAGTAACCATTTGAAAACAAAGTGGATCTCTTTTTCTAAGCAAGCCCTAATAATTTTTTATGCATAAAAATTGTATTCAAAATTATTTGTTTCTTTGAAAAGGCATTTTCAGCTTAGATATCAAAAACAAGGAAAAGCAGAAGACTTTGTATTAGCCCTCTTTTAAAAGAATAAGTATATTAATCAAACCTTCACAGTCAACCATAATTTTTGTATGTCTTTACATAATAAACATGTTTACAATATTATGCAAAGCTGCAAGGGGACTAAGCAATTCAGAAAGGTCTTGGATGTTAAAAATCCAAACTCATGTATTATTAAATAAGCGATCCACTGTCAGAACAGTTTCCTAGTATTTACTTTAAATTACATCTAATTATCAGAAAACTCAGCTAGGATGAATTTGCATGGTCTGGACAAAACAATCTAAAAGGTATTTGTAATGAGGGTCTATTACTCTGACCAACAGCCAGATGGAATCTGCAACTCTGAAGTTATGTCAAAACCAAAGTCTTTTTGCAACTGAAAAGATTAATGCTTTGCAGTGACTGTGTCCAAAAGTAGCATAAGCATTTATAATGAAGAAGTACAGAAACTGCCTTTTAGGAAGTCCTCCACTTGTTCCATTGAATGTATTTGGTCTGAAAATCTTAGTGAACTTGCACTTAAAAAAAATAGCAGCATCATGACAAAAACAATTTAACTACAAAAGACTGGAGAACTATCACTTTAAAGTTATGGTTAGAACTCTAAAGTGATAGTATTTGTATATGTGATAGTATTTGATGTACTTGTATTTAGCACTGCTATCCATCACTTGATCTGTAACTGTATTCTCAACATTCATTTCCTTTGTTGAATTCCTGGTGACTTCCAGTACACGTGATACTGTGTAGGAGTTATAGGACAGTTTGAAACTCCTTCATAAACGTTTCTGCCTGTTCCAGGGAGCCTTTTGGCATCCTCATGGCTTTCCAGAAGAGGAGACTCTTATTTCATTACTAGTCAATCATAAATGACAATGTAATTTCCCTTAATACTAGCATTAAAAATAGTGAAAAAGAAAACACAAAGAAAGTTAATTTTCATTCCACCAGCTTTATCTAGCGGGTATTTCCCATAAACTTCCCTTTTCCTTTTTTCATTTTTTTTTTCTTTCAAGAAAATATTAAAAAAGTTTGTTTAAATGGAAAAAAATTTAGTGACCTTTGTTTTCACAACAAATATTTTCTTCTGTCCACTTTGCCCTTCTTTCATTACTCCCCACATTACTGGCTGTTCAGCTAAAACTCATTTCTGAAGCACAGGAATGTAAGCAATTCTTTCCTTGGGGGAAAAGAGGAGTTCATTGCCCTGACAACAATATAATCTGTTTTAAATCAACAATAAAACCATAAAGTCACTCTTAAAGCCACCTCTGTCAACACATAATTTATTGGCAGTCATTTCCAGAGAACTATTACAAACAGTAATAATAGTCAGAGAGGAAAACAATTTCAAACACAAAGGGTTGTGGAAAACACACCCTAATGCATTAAATAATGCTTTTGATATTCATAAACAATGATCATTATGTTATGTTTACTTTACAGTAGGATAAAAGATATTGCTGTGATGTTCTTTTTCATAAAAGCGCAGAATATTCAGTGAGTTAGATTTGAAAACAAGCACAACAAAGGAAAAACACATTATTAGGAAACACAATATGCACAAACATTTAACTTTGGGGTATAATCTGAAAAGAAATCGGTTGCAGAATTTTTTTTCCTTTAACAGCCTTGATCAAGACAGTCCTCCCAGATAGTGCCACTCAGTGTTGATTTTGGGCAAGGGCCAGAAAAAATGCCTCAGTGATGTCACTGAGGGAGCCACTCCTGAACAGGACTGATACAAGGTTACTGCTCTGTCCACTCCACGTTCAGTGAGATATTTGTGTGCACTTTTTTTTGATAACTCCCCCTCACCGTACCTCATAATAATATGACATATTTTGCTCATCTCCGGACTTCCTTAAGGAAGTAGCAATTTTTGTAATGTAAAAAACCCCCATAATTCTCTATCCAAACCAGCGTTCATCCTTCCAGACATAACTTCCTCATCCAGTGCAAGCTATTTCTTTTTAAATCCCATGTGAGTTACGTTATCATGGCTTAACATATGGTAAAAACAAATGGGAAATGTTCTTATACCAGCAGAGAGACCGAAGTCTAACTCTGTCTAGTGGAAGATTGCACCTCTGCTGGCAATATGCTTACAGAATTTAGAATTTCAGATTAGATACCACTGTTTTTTCTGCCAAGAACCATCTTCCTCAAACGAGGCAGATGGCACATTCAAGCAACAGGATTCAAAAGGTATTCAAGCTCCCTTTACATGGCAAAAAACAAAAGATGGGAGACAGCACAGCTCACTTATCATTTGAACATCTGACAGAGGTAACAGGTAAAAAATAACCTTGTATTAAGCCTCCACTAATGGAAATCTTTTACTAATGTTCAATAGTTCCATTCTTTCTTGGCATGTACTATTAAATAGACTGTAAGAGATGCAATCTCTCAGCATCAACAACCCCACTAGTAAGCAAGCAGAAAGAGGTGAAAGTAAGGCCAAGCACATTACATGGACAGCTGTCAGGCTGTATCCCCAGTTGTCAGCTATCCAGTTACAGCATGAGAAACACGCACACGGATGACAGACCCCAAAACATTCCTTGCCACAGGTATAGTAGCATGACCAAAGGTTGAAATGCTATTTAAAGCACAGCTCTTTCTGCACTTGTGACAAACTCTGATGTGAAAGTGCAATCAACCTTAAATGCAAAACTCTGAAGCAGGAGAGAATTGTCAATGCTATTCTTCTCAAAATTGCATGTATAGAAGCTGTAAATATCTGTAATACTAAGAGCATGCAGTGAATGCAAGATAAAAAAAATTTTGCAGATGTTTTCAGCTACTGATTGAGATCAAGGGCATGAAATAAATGAGGAGCATGAAAAACAGAGATACTCAGAAAAATTACGGAAAAGGCAATCGAGGAGGAATGGAGAAGACATTAATGAAGACAGATAGTAGATGGAAGGAGCCAGAAAACACAGCCAAAATGGAAATCAGAAGACAGAGCTGTAATTATAGTTTTCATCCACCTACCACATAACATAGAAACATTTAATTTCCTCACTTTCCAAAGGAAATGTATGTACAGGATAGCATAGACCCACAAAAAGCAAGCACTCAAGTAATAATTATTATTGTTAGGATGTATGTACACAGTCTACGGCATTCCTTTAGAGGCTCAAAGGTCCCTTTTGTCTATTGATTAAAAAAAAAGGCAGCAAAAAAGGATTTTATCAATATTCATTACCCTCTTATTTTGAATGTATCTAAACGTATTTGGATTTCAACACCTAGTCAGATGCATAATTAGCCAAATGGCTTCTTCACTTGAACTGAATGTTAATTTCCAGATTTCCGAAGGGATATGCAAACTGCTTTGAAGAATTGATGGGATGACTGTCAGTTGAGTATTTATTTCTTTTTCACAGTATTTAGAAAAACCAGTTCCTGAATCAGATCCAACCTTGCTCCTTCTAGAAAACACAAGCTCAATTTTTGTGCAATTCTCTTTGTCAGGCAGAACTGTACATCGGATATCGTTCAAACTGTACAACTGAAGGGTGTCAAATTGTGATCGCTGGCAGGAAGCATCCTCAATGTTCAGTGCATGATTTTTCTTTAAGAGACCTATATGAGTAGTTGTAAGAACAAGAGTTCTATACACAGTCTGCTCAGCACAGTCTACTTTCACTGAGGTATATAGCAGTACATGAATGTCACCTAATGGAGGTTTAATACTTCCCATATTTTCATGGAGTAAGTAAACCAGATCAGCTAACTCAGTTTGAAATTTACAGGACAATTGCACTCCGTTTGAAAAAACCAAGCCATTTACATCTGAAGTCCAGTCAAGTGAAATCTGAGCCAAATCACCTTTCAAGAGCTGGTGATTTAAATAAGCATCATCATCCGCTGTAGAAATCAAAATGCTCACTATGTCGTGGCAAATTCTTTGAGTGAAGTGTTTGTTGTAGGTAAATATTGTGAGTAAACCATCTTCAGCAGAACACAGAAGACTAATATTCTGTCCAGCAAAGCCAACTTGAATCTCCTTTAGAGAGTCAATAGGAACCTCACAAAGCAGTACCAAGGAACTCTGGTAGGTGTCTTGTTCAGCTGATGACACAACAACATATAGAATGGAGCTGAACAAAAGCAAGCAAGCAGGTTCTGGGTCAGGTTTTTTGCAATTGCCAACAGCAAGCCAGTAGATACCTTTCAACTCCTCCATCCTAACAGAAATCTGAGGTAAAGCATAGGTCAAAAATTCCAGTAGTTTTTCCAGGGAAAAGACTTGAAGCTTCAGAAAGACATCAGGAAAATGCACAAAGTTCTGTCTTAACACAAAACTTTTTTCCAGCTCTTCCTTTTTACTACAGCATGCAAATCCTTCAGGGGGCTTTCTCGTACAGGCATCCGAGATCTCTGTGCTCACACACGCTGTGACAGCCTCTTGCACAGGAGACTCAGGTTGAATGACATTTTCAGTATGAGCTTTGGCGTCATCAGTAGTGTGGGACATGTCTTGATTCACATCTGACTTGAACACATTTACTTGCAAGTTCCTTATAAATGGCAGATTTTTTATTAATGATACCGCCTGTGCACACTTCTCGCTTCTGTCACACAAACTTCCCAACTCCTTGATTTGTTTGGAAACCACAGCACTGTTGAGCAGCTGACTACTGGTATTTTTGTAAAGGCAGGAAAGCTTACTGACAAGAGACCCTAAACTGGAAGCGTGTTCTGGTCTCACACCAAAATGAGAAGCTATTGACTTAAAAGGGATCAAATCAAAGGCTTTTTGTGTTGGAAGCTGAGAATTACTAGACTGGTCTTCGATTGCTGGATGCACTGCACTTAATGGGCTGTTTTCTTCATAAGTTTTTGTTTCAGAATGCATATTAGACTGAGAAAAAAAAACGCATGATACACTGTTAAAGCCAGTCTGCTCATTAGCACCCATTAAGGATCCTACAGGAGACAGCTGTTTCGAGTGGGAACAATCAGATTCAGTTCTTGCGCTGTCACAATCTGAAGAAGTAATTATTTTATCGTCAAAATGACTGAAATTTTCAACCTTGCAGAGTGAATAAGCCACATTATTAAAGTCAGGACTTTGTAAAGAAGTAGATAAAACATTCTGATAAGAAACATTTTTACTCTTTAAAGTATTAGTATTTTTAGCGTGAATTAAACTACTTTTAATGTCATGATGACAAGCAAAGCTCTTCTGTTCCGAATTACTCCTTTCATTCTGAAATGCCTTCTCTGATGTAAAAGAGGAGCAGCTTCTCCCAGAATTGAAAAATAAATCCAGAATCTCTGTATATGCCTTCTGTTTCTTATGGTCTCTTACTCCTGTGTTTTCTCCATGCAACTCAGAAGCACATTTGTCATCTTTAGAGAGAAATGGAAAGCCATAGTGTGGCTGCCACTGTTGACATTTCTGCTAAAAATTTCAAAAGAAAACAGAAACATCCTTGTAAAATCTTCTGATCTGAACATTTCTTAAACTGAGGATTGATTTTGATTAGGTTTGAGCAATCATTCAAAATTGGTACGACCTCTCAAAATGGAGAGAGACAAAATCCAGCAGAAGTGATTGAGATCTGATTCAGGAATGGTTGATCTTCCCAGCCCACCATTGCTTTTTCTTTGTACAGTATCCATTTCACTTGGTTTATATTTGCTTTCCTCAAAAAACACAGGAAAGTCAAAGGGTGATGCAGAAAGTTATAAGCCCTTCTAGTATTTTCCCACACATACACAAAAAAGTAACACTATACTAGTCAAGACAGTGCAAAAAGTCAACACAGCTTAAAAATGACAGCGTGAAAGTCCAAAAAAGTCCAAATTTGAAGTGCTGCAGCCCTCCCATTGTTAAGGTTTAATCCATAAAGGTATTTAGGATTTACTCACCGAAAATAACTGTGTTTCAAGCAACAGTTAGACAAGCAAATATAGTAGGAGGTATATAAGCCTAAGTTTAAAAATACATAAATACAATGTATGAATCCTCCACAACAGGATTCAGGCAAACTTGCCTGGTTCTTTGTGCTAATATTATAGACACCATTACAGTAGTTCACTGTGAGTCAAAAAAGTCAAGTATAGGCTGAATTCAGACAATCTCTCCTCATTAAATGTTTTTCTCCTCTAACAATAAGGAAAGGGATACTGTTCCAAATTAAGAATCATGGCAAAACAAGGGAGAGAGATCCACAATAACACCACACCTTTCAAATAAGGAAAAAGCTAGATCCAATCTGAAAAAAAATAATCACTTTCATTCCAGCTGGAAAAATGCTCTGCCGTGTCTGTTAGCCATTAATCTTGCTGCGAATTCAAAATTCTAATTATGCAGCTAAACATTAAGAATTTTAATTACAGGGCATGCCATAATTTAAGACAACCATTTCATTCTGACAAATTATGACCTACCTCATACTTCAGCTTGCGTTGAACGGTGCCGTTATTAAGCCTCTCATTATCCTAAGCACAAAAAAGGTACAGGTGATTATTAAAAAGAGTGCCTTTCTTGTATAAGTTCATTGAAAAGTATTCAGAGGAAAAGACATTCCTTTCAATAGACAAAAATAACAATTTTCTTATCAATATTTATGAAAACCACTGGCTTAGAAGTCAATCAACCCAGTCTTCAGATCAATCAGATCACCAGTTTTTGAAAGAGTATTTGTTTACAAGTATAAAATTCCATCCAGAATAACATTCACTTTTATCAACACATTTTTTCCTGACATAAAATGAAGATTTTTACTTTATCTGAAAACTTCCTATTGCCATTTACACATTATTCCCTGCCAAAAACCACACAGAATACAACATAAACCAGCCACTGGAAATAAAAAGATGATCAAAATCTAAAATCCGACATCCCTGATTTACTAGTTTTTTTTTTCCTTTTTGCTTGTTTGTTTTTTTTTGTTTGTTTTGTTTGGTGGGTTTTTGTTTGTTTGTTTGTTTTGTAAATTAAAACTAAGTAAACATAGGAAAACATGAAAATTATTGAACAACAAAACGAAATTTGTGGTTTCACAGAGTCCATTAAATGTCAGGATTTCCCATCCATCTCTACTCACCTTTAAACTTTCTGTAGACCAGGCCACACTAACATTGTTATCCTCAGCTTTATGATGAATATTCTGGAGCCTTCTCTGCACTTCTTGTTCAATAAAGGCATTTATCCTGCAAGATACAGAAGAGTGTGTGTGTGTGTGTGTGTGTGTGTGTGTGTGTGTGTAAAAAGAGTGTATTTTACATAAGTTAAGACAGACTAAAGAGCTCTTTGAAATGCTTCTAATACTAAGTACTGTACAACTCTTAATTAGCAGGCTTAATGTTAGACCTGTTTTATCCCTCTGCACTTTTTGAGTGAGTGTTTCACCAATAGACAAAGGTTAACAATTTATTATCACAATTAGACAAATTAATGTACCACAGGCTAAGCCACTGCTCCATGTACAGTTCTACATATAAGTGGCAGTGAGATTAAGAGTGATGAAGGAGAACCAAAAGGCTGGGGTTGCATCTTCAGTAACTTCACTGTTTGCATTTATCACTGCTGTGATATCAGCAACTTGGGCTAACAGAGGTTTGGTTTTCAAACAGAAGGAACGTTCCAGGAGTTGATACCAACAACTGCACGTGTAAGTGTAACAAAAACAGATGAAACAGGTTTTAGTGATACCAGGCAGCTGCCCTTTTAAAAAAAGTTTGGGATAATTTAATTTACTTTGTTGCCTTAAGTGTATAAGAAGTAAAACCATATAGATAAGTAACTGTAAACAGAACAACAATTTAAATACATTTTAGCCTAGAGTTTCCCAACCCTCTATTCTAAAACAAACTGCACAGGAACAAGAGATTAGGTTGTTGGTCATTAAAAGTAGAATACAGCACACAAATTCTACTTCCAGACTAGTTCTTCAGTACAATTACAGTACTTAAATAAAATCCAACCCTGGCAGAACGGTCTTGCAAAATATTTCTTTTCAAAAGCTTTTTGTTTGTATTCCTACCAAAACATTGCACGAAGCAATGCTACCTACCTATCATCAACTAGGGGAGCAGAGGGTGGCTGTGGCTTTGCTGGGTTGGAAGGGGAAGTGCTATGGGAGAGTCTCTCTTCCAATATTCCATGGTTTCCTTTCTGAGCACCATCACCCTCATATATTTTTTGCTTCAGCTGTTGAATTTCTTGGTCCAGGCTACAAAAAAAAAAAAAAAAATCTTAAGATGTAATTTGTTTTGGTTTAGAGTTGATTTTCGTGGTTCTGATGGGAAGTAAAGTACTTAAACTGTACATGTATGTAAGATTATAGGTATTAATATTTATGAAGGCTTAAAAATCATAATTGTTCTTTAAGCGTATTTAGATAGGAAAAGAGACAGCTCAAAACCACGTCCCAACTGCAGTATTAACTTGAATAAAACAACTTCAGTAACTTCCAATGCAAAAGGTATCTAACTTAGCGCATTAAATATAAATTCATAAGACCTAACCTATCTATTAAAATCACTTGAATAAATTTTCCTCTTTCCAGAACTCTATCAATGACCTCATTTATTACCTTCCAGTATGAAGTAAATGAAGAAATGAAGGGGAAGAAAATTAAAAACTCGAACTACTAAGCACTAACACAAAAACCCAAAGAATACCTAAAACACTGATGTGGCAAAACATATTGTAAGAAAATCTTTAAAATTCTGTACTATATATATATATATAAATTTTATTTTCCAGTTATTCCATCTGTATATATATTTTTGAAAACACACAAAATAAAACATCTAGTACTTATTTTATATATGCACCTAATAAATCATCTCTTTGATGATTTCTTGCTTTCTTTAACAAATACATTTCATTCCAGACAAATTTATGCACAGAATACAATATGAAAAATTTTTTTGACTGAAAATGCCTAGAGGCATTTTGTATGAAATAAAAAGCACTTCTTGCAATATTTATCAGTTAGTCAAATTAAACTATATGATAACAAAGTAAACTGCAGAAGACCCTTTTCACTTTTAATGTAGCTGTGATTAGATTAGTAACACAGTAATAATCTCCCCCACTTTCATTACAACTCTTGTCTCTAAAGGTAATTGTTTTTCTAGAGGTTACTTAAAAATCAAATAATAAAAGAAAAGATATTCTTGTAAAAACAGGGGAAAGTATGCAAAGTTGGGATTCTTCCACTTCTCCTACAATTGCATATATCTAAATTGAAGTACAATGCTATGACTACTTTATTCCATCCTGGGGGTTAAAAGAAAATTAAAGAGATTATGAATGCTGAGACTTAGGCTGAATTGTTACTTCATTTTTAAAGTACTTTTTGCAGCACTGCCAGAAGCCATCTGTTTCTTTTGATTAGCAGCAAAACAATCTTGTGTCCTGAGGGGAAGTGGATGGGAGATGGCTGCTGGATATAGTGGAGTGTTTGCATCTATGGAAAATCAATTTAAGCACAAAAATCAGAATTATATTAAAGGAACAAAGCTTATCTCTTGGTTTGTAAACATCCTAATATGAAAGGGTATCACTTTTTATAGCTCTGAAGTTAGTCAGCCTAGTGATGCATCCACCAGTAAGAATGGTAAACTGCACCTTGCCATTCGTGAGTGATGCATCCCATTGCCTCAAAGACGACTCTAAAGTTGCTTTATGTTCATTCTATTGCCCCAAACCTCTGCCAGTAAAGACAAAATGTATATGCAATATCCCAGTACAAGCTCCCTTCCAATTATCTTTTTGGGGGTCATGCCCGTAGGTGAAAGAATTTGAGCTTACATATGATTCAAACTGAAAAAAAACCCAAAACGTTTTATCCAGGTATGATGAAATTATAGTCTTGTAGCATATCCAATGAATATTGCACTTAAACATTTTCAGAGAGCTAACACTGAACTAGAGCATATCATCACATAATGGGATCTAGATAAACAATAAGAAACATATATAATTCATATGCCTACATCATGTAGCGTGCAATGTAAACTCAAACACAACAGCAATAAGTAACCTGAAATGTTTAACACACTATCACATATTTTAAGACTTTTCTTCTGCCTCAACATTCACAAAAACATTCTGAATTGAATTATTCAGGCCCACGGGCTATTCACTGAAAGACTTCAAAGTTTTATTTAGCTTGTGCAGGAGGACTTTAAAGTAAACAAGAAAAAAACAAGGAAAAGAAAATATATCTTTTCACTTCCTTGGTGTCTTTTCCAAACCTTAGTCTTCTAGCTTTCAACATATTTTTTCACTTATCACACAACACAGCAATCTCTTGAGGGCTAACTAAGCAGTCTATTTTTGTGGAACCTCAAGTTGTTTACAGTTCACTTTAGTTGAACGAGGTGCTTAGTGCAGAAAATGAGATTTTATGTCCCAGACAATTTTGGAAAATAATGGCAATATCCACTACAAAATGATAAATCAGTATTGAAAATGCTTAACTAAAATCCAAACAATGTAGCTATAAATATTGAAAAAGTGATCTCTGCACAGTGTGAAGAAAGCAACTATTCTCCTCTGATAATGGTTTAACAGGAAAGAAATCCAGAAGAGCTCTTCAATATGACTACAGGCAAGTTCGTTTTCATAGCTTTCTTTTTTAAATCAAGCATCTGTTTCAAAGGCTTACGAAAGAGGATTTGTATAATTAGTGAAATATTAAAAAAGCAGATGACAAACGCTACCTCAAGAAAAAAAAACCACTTCATTGTTTCACCAATATTCACAGGTTTTAAAGCTTCAGTATTAGCAAATCAGATAAAACATTTAAAAATGACAATTCTGCCCTCTTTGTGTACTGCAGGGACTAAATACATTAATCCCAGTGGATTTTCACTCAGGGCAAAAATGAAACAAAAGACTTTTTCCTCTGCTTCCACACAAAGATCCTTCCCCACCTGAATCACTTTTGTCTGAGCTTCCCATACTTGGGCTGAATGTCATGTTACCAGATATCATGTGTTTAACTGATGACATTGCTTCTGTACCTAGAAGGGGTTGTCATCACACAGGGTAGCATTAAAGCCTCTGTGTATTTTCCAATAACCTTAAAAAGCATCATCAAACTTTACACAGATATATGGCTAGTTTATTTTTATTTAGCCCTGAAACCAGTAACAAAAAAAATCAAACATTACCCCTGTTTACTGTGAATACCAGAAATGTTCAGTACACCACCAGTTGAGATAGCTGGCAGGTCCACTGTAACTATTCATTTCCAAGCCCTGACAAACATCTGACTTGTTACTAATAAAGAAACAAAATGCTATACAGAAATATTTTAAGAGAAAAAAAGTTGTTAGATGGTCTGTTTTTTGTAAGGGCGGAACATAAGGTTGTCTGAGCTTTGTCAAACAATTTCAAGTACTGTGCTGGCTAATGCAAATAATATCCTGCTGAGGACAGGATAAGTCTCTGAACACAACAGAAATCGGTGAGTGAGCAAGAATCCTTTGAAAAATAACACAGAGTTTCAATTCTGGGCAAACTGCTTTAAACTCACGGAGAAACTCAAATACTGGGACTCAGAACAAATCATGCTCTCAACATCTAAGGTATAAAATGATTCACCTTCTCTGGATAGGTTCTAATCAACAAAAGCCACCACAGGACTCACCGTTCTCGGTCTTGCTCAAGGGCTTTCTGCTGAGCTTCCAGACTGGCCTGCAGCCCTGCCTGCTCACTGCAGCTGTTGTTCAGGGTGGCCAGCTTCTGTCTCTGCTCCTCAATTTCAAAGTCGATCGTCGAGCGACGCTGCAAAGCCGAATGCCTCCTTTCTAACTTAGCAACAGCCTGCTCCAGAGCCTCTCTCTGCTGCTTTTCCCTTGATTCAAGAATTTCTTTTTCCTTTTTCCGAACCTTTTCTTCCTGACGAGCTACATTGGCTGTGAATTCAAAGGTTTCTTGAAGCTGCTGCAGCTGATTTGTGCTGGCTCTATACTGGGCAAGCTTCTCTTCTTTTTCTTCTATTTCTTTCTCTATTTGATAGAGAGTATTATCTAACCCTAACAAGCCCCTGTCAAGGATTTCAGAAGCTCTTTGTTTTTCTTCCAGCAGAGCTGGCAAATGATTACTCTTCAGGTACTCAAGCTGGCGTACTTTAGATTGGAGCCTGTACTCCACTGGCTTTATCTTGTCAGCTTCTTCAGCCTTGAGTATGGGATCCATAGAGTTTTCATCATCTCTCTTGGGATTTAAATGTTCTTCATGTGCAAATTTTAAGTGCTCCAGAGCCCCTTTTTCATCTGCTATTTCCTTTTCTAGGTGATCTATTTGCTGAACTAAATCTTTTTCCAAAATGGTCAAGTGTTCCAGCTGTTTCCTTTTAAACTCTACAAAATCATGCTGTGCTTTCTCTAATTCTTCACGGTTTTCATCACCTTCAGAGCGGGCTTCCTTGACTTTCAATAGAGATTCTCTAATATCTTCAAGGTCTCTTCTCTCTTCTTCAACTCTCTGCACATCCCCTCTCTTCAGGAGCTCTATCATGACTTGCTTCTCTCGAAGCTGTTCCTCTAGATGAGCCACAAGCATCACCTGCTCTCTTTCCTGTTCTTCAAGTCTTTTTTTTTCTGACTCCAGCTTAACATATTGCTCATCTTTTTCCTTTTTAAGTCTTTCTAGTTCACGAAAAATTTGCATTTTCTCTGCTTTCTCATTATGATTAAGCTCTTGTAGTCGCTGCAACTCCTCTTTGACCCGGGCAAAAATTTCTTCCTGATGCTTTTTCTTTTGAAGCTCTATCTCCTGTTGTTCCCGTAATCTCTCTTCTTCAAATTTCTCTTTTTCAGCCAGCAAATCCTTTAACCTGCTCTCAATGTGAACACTTCTCTGTTTCAGACTCTCCTCCTGTTTTCGAATTTGCAGCTGAACTATCTCTGTCTCCTTTCGCTGTGACTCTACTTCTTGCTGCATTCTTACAAGTTCTGCTTTGTCAGATCTTTGTTTTTCTTCCATCTCTTCTATTTGTTTCCTGCAGTAAAACATTTGCATGAAGTTAAAAAGGTTTGGTCTAGGATTTTCCAGTAGATATATAACCATTTCTTTAATAGTTTTGTTTTGCCACAGGTTGAGATCTTACACTGCTTGGAAGCGACTTCAATGCATGAAACAAATGGAAAAGAGACTCATATCGTTTATGTCAACATAAAAAGTTGTGGATGTATAAAGTTATAGGAAGACATGCTACACAGCACTTTTGTTAGTAGAAAATTAAGACTGTATTAGTTCTGTCAAATCTAATAAAAATATTGATAGAGCACATCCATTCACGCAGCGAAAAATAAATACAGATTTTTTACATACATTCTCATACTCACAAACTTGTATAAAAGAACTTGATCAGCAATTTGCCTTACCAAATTTAAGCCAACGGATGAATTAAAACAATGTCTTCTCTGACCCCAACTGAATTATTGATAAATGGATTATAAAATATAAGACAAATTACTATGTCCTATGTAATCTCTCTTTTAAAGGTTCTAAGTGCATTCCAAACTGGGGCAGACTTGAAGGTCACCAATGTCCCCACAATACAAGTAGAGACAACCTGCAAGTCAGTTGGTTGTTTGGTGAGAAGTTAAAGTCAGATAAATTAAACCACAAGCAAACCAATTTCAGCACAATCTGAATTCAAATTCCATCAATATATCAGAAGGGATAAATATCAGTGATCCTATGTGGCATCAACTGCTGAACAACATCTTTTAGTGCTTCAGAGTTTCAGGGGTTTTCTGAGTTTACTTCACCTAGTCCAACTACATAAAGAGCTCTTTCAAAATGGAACAAGCCATCTAAAGCTGAGATGGCAGAAAGGCTTTCAGTGTATGAATGTAATCAGCACTGGGATCTACAACAAGGCCCAAGCTATCACCTCCAAAATCTCAGCAGGTATGAGAGCCAAAATGGTCAGCTCAGTTTGCCAGCTGACAACAATGCTTTCCTCTGTACTTCAAACTGATAGTCAAATAATGTTCTGATAAACATTATTAGTATGTCCATTGCACACCAGAGTTTTAGGTAAGAGAAGCAGAGTGCAACATGAGAGTTTTTGATATCACGAATCAACCTAAAGGCAGCTAAATTAAAAAAAAAAAAAAAAACAACCAAACAAAAACCACCTCAATAAAGAATGTTATTTGTTGTTTTTTAAAATAACAGCACATAAGTTAAGAGCAAGGGCAATATATTAGATTTGTACAATCTATTCTCCTCATATCTGTGTGTTTCAGAGTTTCTTCGCTTATAAAAATCACAATTAGCTACAATTTAGCAATTCAGGATCCTCTGCTTGCTGAGTAACATCATGATCTCAAATTAGTGATTTAAATGAGTCTATAGTGTGTACACAGAGATACACATAAATACCACAGAGAATAATGTTACCTTTTACTTTCTAATTTTTCAAGCTCCTCTCGTTGTTGTCTCTCAAATTCTAGCCTGATTTAAAAAAAAAAAAGAATACAGTTAAAAGGTTATTTCCTGAATATCACAAAAATAGGAAGATATGATGCAGTTCAATCTGTTTAGAAGATGATAACAATGATACAAATGAAGTTTCATAAAACTAGTTTCTACAAGAACAGAAAATAGTTCCTTCATTAGGGTTACAAATTAGATATCATGCTGCCTGACATGACTATAAACAGAAAAATAAATTAATTTCTGGGGAAAGAATATATTTAAAAGGGAAAGTTTAAAGGGACATATAAATGATTAGCATAGCCTTTTGAGTTAACTACATGCAGACATGGCAATCAATATATAGAAATTTAATTTCTCTACCTTAGACAGATCGGTCCTTTTACAGGGAAAAGACTGCCATGGGAGGCAGGGGGGAACAGAGCAATCAATTGAGAAAGGAATTGATAGAAAAAAACATATTAGCAGTATAGAATACTTCAAAATCAACAACAGTTTGTTTTGTTAGAGGTTAAATTGGTTAGAATCATAGAACATTCATCACTTTACAGCTCAGAAGTAAAATTTTAATAATTGCTCTTTCTAAGAACATTTTTCCAATGTCAGTGATAGTTAAAATGATGCTCATTACTCTATGGTTTATTAACTTGGCCATTTTCAGAGAAAGGAAAGTGCTACAAAACTACAAGTGGATGCTTGCAGTTCTTCCTTTTCCTTCCAAGAAAAAGAAAAATCCAAAACATTACTAGGATGTCATCAGCGGAGTTGAAAAGCCCCAAAGTACAACATTAAAGCACTGAACAAAATTAAAATCCATTTATTTAAAATATGTTGAGATTTTAATGTATCTAGTTTGATAAGGATCTGATTAATCAGGGTAGAGCATTTTATGTAATTTTTAATATCAGCTTTTATTACAGTTGTACGTAAATATTTTTCTTACTTTAATTTCCTTTGAAAGATTTACCTTTTATTTAAGGAAGTTATTCACAATAAATATTAAAAATGGCAAAGAGAACCTATATATGAACTAAATTATTCAACCAAATACACAAATATTCATTTATTTCAGGTATGTTACAGTTTTAAGGATGTGCAGGTTAGTGAAACAGTTCATAAACATGGAAAAAAATGCAAGACTGCACCACAAGTTTTTGACGAACTTCAATTTAAGACAACGTAATCACAATTATATAGACAGGTTTTTAAAAATAAAGTATTTTTGATACTTCTTCCTAAAATCATAGAAATGCCTACAGCAAAAAGAAAATGCTCTTGGAAATATGCAAAAAGTACACCAATAATCTAACATTTATAAAGCTATTTTAATGAACTTTGATTCCTAACATGCTCAAGTAGCATCTTTCTAGTGGCTGCAATATTGCAGAATGACCAGTTTAGCAAATTTCATTTTTCCCTAACTCTCACAAATTCATTTTTAAAAACGCCTTCTACAATCCCTGAGAGATTAGCCAAGGTAGATTTTCATACATAACTCCAGCCATTCAGAGCTTACATGTAACTGTCTCATCAAGAGTCTTTTCACATTTGCATTAAACTAAGATGGGCACTCTACAGCCCAAGGAGAGATGATGACAACTTAGTATTTTTAATTTGATCACAATTCCTGCAGTAGCAATGCAAAACCCACAAAGTGTTGGAAGAGAACAGAAAACTATCTTAGGGGGCCTTCAGAAAGTAAAAGCTTAATTTAATGGTTACCACGTGGTTTGGGTTTTCCCTCACCTTTTTTTTTTTTTTTTTTAAGCTATACCTCAAAAGTTCTCCCTTTGGCTATGGTCTACTGGAATTCAGAGCTGTTAGCTATCACTTCTTGCCTAGGGTTTGGCTAACAAATGCCACTATATTCAACATTACTTTAGTCCAAAATAACACAGACCCCAGTGGATATAGCTCTGGTTTGTGGAAATGCAGGTGTCCTTCGAGCACTGTCAGACATCGACCATCTTTGCTTAGACAGTCGGCAAAAAATGATTTAAGTGTATTCCCACGCTTGGTTAAGCCATAATGAAGTAAAATGTTTCAGATCAGGTAACATAATGTGCAAAACCCAGAGCAAAAACCTTTCGGTATTTTGATTGTCCTATAAAACATGTAATTTGGCAGATATATTTTATACAAGCATAAAAATGGTAACTAACTTTTGACTGAGATCTAATACATGGAAAATGAGCCATCACAGCAATCAGTCTGGTATAAAAACAGGTCAGTGGTTAAAAACTCCATGATTTTCTCTTGGAAGAGTTGTCCCTAATACCTTCAACAGAGTGTCACAACAATCAGTTTTACCTTACACTGAAATGAAGCTGAAAGTGTTCAAAACGTTGTTCAGGAAAAAGGTGTGAACTACACAAAAGTGGTTCTTTCTTCAGTCAAAAGGTCTCCTTCCCAGAGCCAAATACGAATCATCATCATCATCAACACCCCAGTCCACAGCCTCCAAACATAGAGGTATTTTAAAAATGCATATTTAATCCATTTTAGACCAATAAATACTCCTATGAAGAGAAGGGTTGTCATTGCCTGGTGGTGCCTAAGACGGTCTGAGCTCCACTGAAGGCTCTCCTGTCATGGGGTTATTCGCAGTGTCTCCATTCTCTAGGTGCTCACACTGCAGCCTTTATTCCTTCAGGGGTAAAAATGCTGCCTGTCTTCCTCAGCTGACTGCCTGTTTTCTTAATATATTTAGGAATTCACCACTTTTGAGACCATTATCTCTGGAATATTTGCTTCAAACTCACTGTGAACTCAAAGTCATTTCAGGACAGGAGAGAATATGGGGAGGCAGGACAGGCCTGATGGCAGAGACGCTGTTTCTTTAAGAAGCTAGTAAAAACAAATATCCCAACATCACACACACACAAAAAACCCCAAAATCATTGGCTATAGCAAATCACTGGCAATTTTACAAAGCACAGATGCCAGACTGATGTTTTCCAGTCTAGTCTATCCCAATAAATATCTTTTTCACATAACCTCTACTCCCTTTATTAATGTGAGCGCTATTGTGAATAGCAAAAAAACATATTAGCTTGAAATTAAAAAGAAACATACAGATATTAAAGACTAGAATCCACTCTTTCTTCTTTTGTAGATCTACCACAAAGGAACTTAATCTGATCAGTGTTGAATTAAATAGACACCATTTTCCTGGAAAATGTGTCATATCTAGTGATAAGAGCAGTGTAGATAAGCTGCAGAGAAAGGAAGTCAGTTCTACTAGCATGGTACTACAGTAGTTTAATTTACACAGCACAAAAGTACAATCTGGTACAACATCTGTTAGGAAAGACTGAGGACTGGCAGAACTACAAAGATGTTACAATGCCATTCAGTAGCCCAATTTATGAGATTAATTTAAAAAAAAACCCAAACAAACAAAACAAAAGCTCCCATACTAAATCCATGACAAGACCAAGGTTTCTCATCAGTAGTTTTATAGTTGCAGTATCATGTAGCTAACAAAAGGCCCACAAATGAAATCTTCAGCATAAATCTATGTGCAAAATTCTATTTTATCCAATGCTTATTATCCGAAGCAGTGTTGCATGACACCAGATTAAAGACAAAGACTGGGAACAAGCAGAACAAAGAATTTTGCATGTTAAGCCAAAATTTTATGCAACTGTCTCCACATATGGGAAATCAACAGCCAAACAAAAAACCCAACACACAAAAGACCATCTGAAAACACTGTTAAGGATAATGCTAATTTTCACATGGAAAAGTAAGCAAAATCCTTACGTTGCTTTCATAACTGAAGGTAATACCCCACAGGCTCTTCTGCCATTGATTGCTAAAGATGCCAGATCTTACAAGCTTTTATTGCAACCTACAGAAATTGCAAATTCAGCTACTGGTCTTTAGGTTATCAGTACTGAGACTGGAAGAAAAAGCAGTCCTGAAAATGCAAATTAACAATAGGCAGAATGCTAGTCAGCTACTAATACTGCATAGAAAAAAACCCAGAGGGCCAGTACTGAATCTACTGCCTGCACTGGTGGTGGGTAGTATAGCATCATGTTATGCTGATAACTGATACTCCAATTTATTGTGGTAAAAGGTCATACTATTGTCCCTGCTGAAAAAAAAAAAAAGTTCAAACTAAATTCTGTGCAGGATATCCTTTTCCATCTGCACTTTTCCAGAAAGCAAGACGCTCAACCCCACCTAACTTCTTAGTAACAACTACTCTGCTTTTGATACTCAGAGATTGGATTTATTCAATGTTTCGTACAGGCTGAACAGTCAACGCTCAGAACAAGCACTGCAGCACTGCACTTGCTTAGCAGTATTTTTAGCTGGAAGTAGAGAGTTTGGGGTCTGTTTTCTTCAAAACATATTCTTTTCTTTAACTTGCATTTATCCCAGCCCCCTGTTCCACCAAAGTAACACTTTCTGCACTCTCATGACATGACAGGACATGACATCTCAGGACAACCTCGTGACATGATCAGGAAAACCCAAGTGCTGTCGCAAAGGAGGAGATGGTAAAAAAAACCAACTAACAGTGTTAGTATCAACATAAATAAATTTAAAATTGTCATGGAATCCCAGCCTAAGTTGAAAAGTTGCTGTTACCAAATTGCTGCCCATAAAGATGCATCAACTATAGAAGATGCTTTCTTCTACTGATTTGTAGGGCTCAGTTAAACTGCAGTGCAAACGTCAGAGCCTTCCTTCTCTTTGCAGCAGTTATAGAAGTAGTAAAAACAGTCACATTTGAGGGTTGGAGGTTTTTCTCCAGGGTTGAGGTTTTTTTGTTTCTGGGGAGACCTCATAGCAGCCTTTCAGTACTTGAATGGGGCCTATCAGAAAGATGGGAACAGACTTTGCAGCAGGGCTGTTGTTATAGGACAAGGGGGAATGGTAGATTCAGAATAAGTATAAGGAAGAAATTTTTTACAATGAGGGTGGTAAAAGTGGCACAGAGGGGTAGTAGATGCCCATCCCCGGAAATATTCAAGATCAAGTTCAATGGGGCTCTGAGCAACCTGATTGAGCTGAAGATGTTTCTGCTCATTGCAGGAGAGGTTGGAAGCAGGTGACTTTTAAAGGTCCCTTTCAACCCAAACAATTCTCTGATTCACAAGCTTCCTCACTTAGAAAAATACACATAACAGTGAAGATGAAACAACCTCAGACAGGTTTTATTGCTCACAAACAAGTGACTTGCATTTCCTATGTAATATGACTTTCTTGTGTTTACAAATTAAGCAGGACAAAATATCTATTCCTCCAAGACAGTTCACAAATTAACTGAATGCAGACTAGCAGGAGAATATAAATCATTAACCCTCTGCTTATAGTTTACAGTTTAAAAAAACACAGACATGAAATGTTCAAGAATATGATGAGTATTTCACCTAATCTTATCCTAAATTTCAACAGCAAAAGTGTTCTCATAATCACACCCAACAAAGGAAAGTAAAAGTCACAAGAAGCGTTAAAAAGGAAAAATGGCAATGTTTCTAAAAATTGTTGCACACATTGACAATCTAATTCTATTATCTATACTATTTAATTTCCAGAAAAGCAAAGCAAGATGTCTGAAGAACTAATAGGAAAAAAAAAAGCTATATTGCCTAAAACTTATCTAGGAAAAAGAAGAATTTGCTGCAATCCACTCCATCAGAGACAATCAAGTAACTCTCCAGATCTTCTCTCTCTCTCTTTTTTTTTTTTTTTTTTTTAATAAGGTTTACTAGACAAATTCTCTCTATAAGGCACTATTTGGCATTATCTGAAGACAGGATTACTTCTTGGGCTGGGAAATCATTTTTGAGCTCACCTTCAGGTGGGCCTTGCCCATGCCATTGTATTTTGCTGAAAATCTGAAAGACCAGCAAGGCAGTGCTGAAACAATCTGTCCTACTCCATACTGACAGCAAAGTCAAAGTCAGTACTATCCACTATAATACAATTATTCATAACATTGTAGCAGAATACCATTATTAGTCAGGGAAAAGCCCAGGATAGCTGACCAATAACCAGAGGTAACAACTGCCAGGAACTTTCCCCAGCTCATGGAAAACATACCAGCAACTGTCACTGTAAGTTTTTAGACTGAGCTATTTGAAGAGCTAAAGAAATAGAAAAATATGCATATACTTTTTTTCATCTTCTTTACCATCTCTATCTCAAAATAAGACGTAATTTATCTTGAGATCTCCATGGGTAGCTCCGTAGCAAAAGAGTAACAGTCACATTTGAAGCAGTGTTATTACACATAGTCCCTGTTATTTAGACATCGTTCAACTTGAAGTTATTATTACCTGTCCAATCTTCCTAAATTCTAATGGATAAAGAGCAACCTCACAGTAAAACTCGGGAATAAAGCTGCACTATCCAAGCCTATAATTCAATTTACAGCCAATTTTTCAAAAGCACATAGGTGGTTAAAGTGCCTCATCTCACACTCAATTCAAAACACCAGCTATGGAAAAAAAATTAGAACAAAACACCATCGATTCTCTGTAAGTCATTTAAGAACAGTGGTAAAATCATTAAAAACAGCTTCTCTACAATAAGCATTCTATGTTATTGTAACCATATAATAAAACTTTTTTCCCATATCCTAACTTGGCCACCTAGTCAGAGGTACAGAGGTGAGAACACAAGCCATTTCTCAGCCTTTTTATGCTTTTGTTGGTAATATATAACCTCAAGAAATCTTAATTTTCAGTTCACAATGCACTTTTTCAGGAAAAACAGTTAACTTAAGTCATAATGTTTTCGGAACATTTCAAACAGCTAAAATGAAGAATGGTTGGAATTATAACAATTGCATTTTAGAATATACTCACCCTGGATTATAAAGCATAACTGCTGACAGGTTCTCACAGGATTTTGAAAGATCTGTCATAGACAAGCTGAAGGAAGACAGCAGTCCACTCTAACAACAGACCATAAAATAAATTTATTAGACAAGTAATGATATTTTTTATAAACTCTTACTTTGCTTCACTTGATGAAATATTAACTAAAGTATGTGAAGCAAATAAAAAAGGCATATACACAACAATCCAGTTATGCCTACATTAGAAAGAAAATTGTGAAAAGGTTTAAATTTACCAAATGCTGATTTAATCTCACCTTTCTTTTCTCCCTGAGCTTGGCAGCTTCTTTTGGGTGATTAAAGCGAAACATATTGGTTCTTCCAAGTAATATAACAGCACCTGATGAGAAAAACACACACCACTCACTGACAACATTCTGTACCCAAAAGTACCGTGTAATTTTTCAGACACACAACATGTAAGCAAAGACTTTCATTAAGCAAGAACAAAATGAAAATGCATTTTGACAATGCAAGTGTGTATCCATGCATAGTCACAGCTACCTTAACTGATGTATACAGTCTATTCCTTCCTCTTCCCACTTAAAAATAAAAACCCACACGTGTTCACACAGTGCATGAATATGACTGACACAAAGGTCAATCATGTTCATGGAGTTCAGTCAAAGAATAAATATAGGTAGAGGAAGCAGCTGCCCCAATTTGATCTACACAGTCTTCAACAGTGCTACATTGGAAGCCAGGAATAGACACCACGTCCAATGGGAACATCCATAGATGTGACCAAGAACAAACTTGTCCATCCATTACTGATCACGGTCAGGTTTGAATTCACCTACATTAAAAGCTCCAGATCTCCATTATTTGTACTCTCACGTTTTACTTCTCTCTGTGGAACACTGAAGTTTATTGTCACTCAAAACAGGATTATTAGACTTTTATACCCAACAGCTATTTTCTGAGGGAAGAACCTTGAATAATTCATATTGGTCAATGCACATCTGTTATTGTATTTAATCAGTTAAGGTACAGGTCACAAATAATGAGATTCTGAGCAATCCTTATCATATTTTAAAGACAATGGCACCAAGATTAATACTTCCCTACTAAGAAGTACATTGTCAGTGATGTCTCACTACTGTCATAACATGGAAGTCTTCCAAGTTCAACACCACAGAATCAAGCATTTGATCTGTCGGTCAGTAACGAGGCATTTTTAAAAAAGAAAAAGGACTCCATTACACTCACAGTATGAAAAAGCTCCACTTAAAACTGTTAACCACAAACGAATTCTTACCATCTGAAATGAAATGCTGTCCTTAGCAAGGAATGTTTCTCTTAAAATCAGCTTAATTAAGAATACCAACTCAAATTAGGTCACCCAGTCTTCGCAAATAAATGGCAAAAAGCACTACAGCACTTCTTGCTGTCTACACAAAAGCTCGGTTTTGGACACATGAACAATTTACCTCAGTCTTATCTTAGAAAGAATTACCTTTCACAAATCCATATGAAATCCCTGCAGTTACTTTCAAATGAAGATAAAAATAATTGTAAGCATTGTAAACCTCCCTAGAGGTTTCTCCCTAAGAAGAAACTTAAATAATTAAAATTTCAGAATGAATAGTCATAGATATTTGTTTCTAACTTCATAAATTTAAGAGAAAACAGGAGAGAGAGATTTAACAGCAAGCACACGAGAGTCAATCCCAGATGATGGATCATAGGAATACCTCTCAGGTTTCCCTTTAAAGTACAGAAGGGTTGACAGTTTGGCCCAAAAACCTGAAAACTTGTTCTAAGGTGAGGATATATTTAAGGAAAAGGACAAACTCTAATTAATGTGAATATTAATTCCATTACCTTTAGAAATCCTACCATATGTTCTTTAGAATAAAAAATAATGTAATTTGGTTACATTTACCAAAAAAAGCCACCATTAACCAGAATTCAAAAACGGTAGAAGTAATCTGTAGAAGGAAGTGGTAATTAATTACTCTGCCTCTTTTTTTTTTTTTTTTTAACTCCATGACAGTCTAAAAATCTAACACATTTCCAAATGAACAGCTATTAATGATAAACGGAAACATTTAAATATATCAGCAGTTAATCAGTATCACCTAAAAGCAGATATTTAAGGAGGCTGGCACTTCATGCTGTGAGACTAAATGCTAACACAGCCAGGATGCATGGATTGTGCACGAGTCATTAAACTAGTGATTTAATCAGTTTTGCACACCTAATGTCACAGTTGGTACCTTCCTCTCAGACTCAGTCTGGTTACACACCAGGTCAGTTTATGCAGCTGATTTTCACTATTTAGTAACCCTAAGTATCCTTCTCCTTTTCTCTTCTTTTGAGTTCCAAAATTCTGTCTAAAGAAAAAAAAGTCATGTTTCCACTGAGGAAAACAAAAAGTCATGTTTCCACTTTTCATAAAGTTGTGACAGGCATCTGAACAAGAGAAAAAGCATCCAAACTCCTACTTTCTTTTGAGGCACATCTGAACCTTTACTGCCTTTGAAATGCAGTAGAATAAAGACTAGAGAGAAACTCAGTTTTGATTGTTTACAGTGTTATTTGCCATTAATGCCAATGTTTCTATTGTTAACCATTTATCCATGGGATGTATCCAAACCTAAGACTAAGGGGGCTGGTGTTTGTTTGGGTTTTTTTTTATATCTGTGATAGAAAAAAGCATTTGCATGAGGAAATTGGCACTTTAAATAAAACAAACAAACAAACAAAAAAACAACAAAAAAACCACACAAACAAACCCAACGTCCCCTCTCTACACCAAAAGTCCTTACTTTCTGCAAGCAGCCTTTGGCAGCATTTGTTCGAGTTCACAAAAGATGCAAGACTCCCCTTGTCCAACACTACATCCTTCCTTTGTTAGGCTAGGCTTAGTCTGAAAGCTTCTTTCCAGGAACGTGAAGTGAGATTGTTTTTCAGCAGCTGAGCCCTGCCACAAGCTCACTCCTAAACAGGTCTTTTTCAGCTCATTGCTGAATGGGAAGATATTCTGGGTGCTCCTGGAAGATAAAACACCCTGAACCTCTGCTGCAGCACTCACCAGCTCACTTGTCAGTCAGTATTTTCCAGGTCAACACAATACACCTTTGTTACCAGCTCTCCTGGCTGCTTTTTCATTTCCAGATTTTAAAGCTTTTATATTAAAATTATAATTCTCTAAACTTCCTCCCTAAGGGTTAGCCTCCCCCTTTTTGTCATTTCCCTACAGCTGCAGAGAACAGATACTCCAGCTCAATCTCCTGCTGTACAAGAGGATTTGGCAATAGTATTAAGTAGGACCAACCTGAAGCTCAGGGAGGGGGGCAGGGGTGTCTCTGACATTATTTTAGTCCTATAGAGATCTATATTCTTTTTCTTAACATCACAGCAACATAAGACATCTGGCATGGAGTGCCCTTTGTGTAAAAACAAACAAAATCAAAGGGTAACTATCACATCATACTCAAGATGACGAAGTAGTTGAAATTAATAAAGAATTGTCTTTTCACCAGTGGCAGTTCTTTGACAGGAGAAAAACTCCGTGGTTTTCCTGATGGTTTGGAGCTGTAGTCGAGAAGACATGAAATTAAAATTAATTAAACAATAACCCCTTTATACACAGGCAGATTTTTTCAGTGCTGCTGTCAGGAAGAAACAAAGAGGCTGTATGAAAAGTGACATCAGGCTGGGTAATACCTTGGTTGAGGTGTGTGGGCTCTGTAATCTGAATACCATTCACAGAACACTGCGCTCCGTTCAGCGGGATGAGGTTCACAGCGCCATTGAGATTTTCAAAGATGCAATGCTCGCTTTCCAGATCAAGGCCATGAAGAACTGAACACAAAGAAACAAGATAATTATTCTCCTCAAAACTAATAAGATTAGCATGATATCTCTTATTAAGAACACATTGTACTACATATTGGAGAGTATATTTTCATTTTATTCTGGACAATGTTTTCTTCCTTCCTTCATCATATCCTGCATGCCTTAAATGTTGACTCTGTTCGTTGTCTTATTACAGTGGAAAGAAGTGTGCTGGGTTGCTTTTGCATTTTTTGGTGTAATGTTCTTTCCACCTGTGCTTTGGCACCTGGTTAGCAAATGCTCCTTTCCTTCCAAGAAAAACCAGAAAAGTAAAATTCTGGTATTTGTAGAGAGATATTTTTTGAGCAGTTCCACCAGCAAATAAGGAAAGCTTCCTGACCTTAAAGCAATCATGCTTAAGTGTGAAAAGACAGGGTATAATATGCCATTGTAGACAAGAAAATCGGCTGAAATAAAGTTCTTATAAAGGCCTTTTATCAATCAGTTATGCTACTTTGCACTTTTTCTATAAATAATGTATTATTATCTCTATGTGTTTTATTTAATAACCCAAAGCAATGTAAGTTTGGTAGCTTCATGGAATTTATTACAATAATTCAAGTCCAGGCAACTTCTGAGCCACAAAAATATACCAAACTAAGTTATTTGACTCTCAATCTTTTACTTAATAATTAAAGGATACAGTTTACTTAATAAAATTGCCTTTAAGGAACACATGTGACAGGACAGTCCAGGTTAGGCATTAAGTTGCTTTCATAAACAGTGAATAGGAAGATTTTTTTCCAAGTACCAGATTTTTTTTCAGCTCAAATCTTAAGTCCAAAGACTGTCTTAGGTATAATAATATAACAGTACTATCATCATACAAAGATTAAGAGAATGATTTTGCAGTGATTGTAGCAGGTGCCGTATGAGAAAGGATGGTATTTTTACAGGATGCTATTTCAAGAGAAGCAAGAAATAAATTAGTAACAAGTACATGAATAAATTTTAAGCCCACAAGCTATTCTAGAAGTCATGCTCTTTAAAGCAAATCCCATGTAATTTATCTCTCAGATTTGCTAGAAGTTAAATACGCAATACACACAACAACTAAGTGAAAAAGGGAAAAAATATGAACCTTATTGGTTCACATATTGGAAAGCTGGAAGAAGGAAAAACAACTAAAGAAAGAATATAAAAAAAGCCAAAGTGCATACCAATATCCTGTTCCGTCATTGCATCTTCTCTGCCAACATATGTTTGGCCCTCCTAATTAAGAGAGAAACACAGATTATTTTCCCTCTCAAGGATATAATTTATCCTTCCACTTTCTCAGATTAAATTGAATGAAATATATCTTTAACATACATGCAAAAAATAATCAGGTATCATTTTTAGAATGCTTTCACAGTCATTATTATACAATATTATCAGCAAATTCTAGTTTCAACTGTCCTGTGCAGAACCACCTTCAAAGTTTTGGGACAAGGAATCTAGATTTGGATTTCAAGGTTAAGCTTTATAATGAGATGAATGACAAACTAATATAGACAGGTAAAAAATATGTTAACACCTATCTGAGGTTAACCAGTTGATCCTCAGGATAAACCTAAGCAGTAAATTAACAAATATTTTAATTCAATCAGTTGCAACCTCTTGAGAGCTCTTCTTACTACAGCAGAGAAACATAAGGAGCTTTTCTTACTATAGTAATGTAATGAGCACTATATTTAGACAGCAAATCAATACAACTTTTCTGCTGAAGAAAAACACAAGGCACATAAAGGCTATGGAAACACAGATGTGTATTTACCTTCAGGTGGTACAAGATGATACCAGTACTGAGAAGATCATCATCAATGCCAATGAGATGAGGCAGTTCAGAATCTAAGACAACACCTATCCCTTCTTTTCTCAGAGCCAAGGTTTGTTCCTGTAAAGGACAAAAATCTATTTATTAGGATGTGCAAGAAATACCACTCTTCCTTCTCTTTCTAAACCACATTTAATATAACTTCTCTGTAATATCACACCAAGAAAAAGAGCAGGTTTTTTACAATTTTTTTTTTTTTTTTGGTTTACATTTTAAACGTGACTTCTTTATTACCATTAAGCATTCCAAGCTTGCTGTTCAGGAAATTTGTGAAGGTGTTATTTGAAAGAAACCAGACAAACAGCTGAATTACACCAGATAAGGAAGATCAATTGAGAGTGTAACAAAGCAAAGTTGTTTAAAAGCAAGCTGTGTACCACCTTGCATAATGCTAAGGAGAATTTAAAACTCCTCAGAATTCAGTACAGCTAAAGAACAGAAAACTGGAGACTCTCTGACAGTCCTTTAAATAAGCCAAACCTTGCACAATAAAAATCCCAAACACCTGAAAACTCGGTAAAGCTAAGCAGTTAAAATATCATCCAATATAAGAGAAGCACTGCCAATAGTATATAAATGTAAGAAATATTTGCAGCACATAATTTCAATTCTTCAAAATTCCTTTGGGCCACATTTTACAGCAATCTATAGGATGAAGCATCACTCAGCTACAAGTGGGAGACTTCAGCCTTGGATAAAGTATGATGTAGTACAGAACAGACAGTCTATGCAATAAATAAAAAATTAATCACGGCTTTGAAATAAGTTTCAGTATTTACAAAGTTTGTTTTTCAAGTTGAAACAAAATCCTATTGGCTTCTAGGCCTGGAATATAACAGCAGCAGAGACCGTGAATGTGTATACACACACCATCTTTCAAGATGAATGTGTTTTTCTCCATAAAAGAGCTAAGCCCTGACAATCCATGAAGGAGAGGCAACGTCAGCAAGTATTGCTTCTGTGTATTATAAGGAGCACACTTTTCTCCCAGTGCTAGTAAACATGGAAAATAAGTTTTCTGACAGCTGCATGACTACTCCTTTTCCAAGTCATCAATATGCCTTCTCCAGAGCCAACCAAGACGCCACACTGTTTGTAAGAAAAAACAACAGATAGATTGTTATATGTATTTTCCCAAGTACAGCAACTTGCAAGTTTAAAGGAAGAAAACATGCAAGATCTCATTTCCCTGCACAGTACAAAATGTTGTCAATATTGATACTGACTAAAAAATTCCAAGTATGGATACATCTGGGCAAGACAAGTTGATGACACAACAGTGAAGACACTCCAAAACAAAACTGGGAAATCTTAGTCTGGTCATGGATGAATTAAAAAGTTCTCCAGCATTCAGGAACAAAGAAAGAAGCTATGATTCATGTTGCCCTGCAGCTCTCTGACATTCAAACTGAACCCAGGTATTCCTTGATATTATAAAAGTGTCACGTCATAAAGCCAAAAAATACAGCTTAATTAATTGTTCAAGTAATTTCAGTAAAAAATACCTATCACATATTAAATATTTATTGAGTAGCATCTCCTGTTATACATAATTTATAATGTTCTCATAGGACGAGGGTGAAGACTTAAGACCCTGAGAACTGGTGATGGGTTATACAACTCCTGGCACCTTCAGTCCAATGGAATTGATAAAATATTAAAAGCTGAACTTTTTTTCCCCAGCATAACAAATCACTTGCCAACATCCCTGACTGAGGAAAAAACAGACATCCCAGGAGAAAAAGAAATTATCACTGGCTGAGAAAAAATAGCTAACAAATAATTAAGAATAAAGAAACAAAATGATTCTTCATTTTCCAGGCTTTTAATATTTAACAAGTTTTTACTATAATCAGAAATTAATCATGTATAATTGTGATTTAAAACAGATGGGTTGCTTATTTATTCAGATCTAAAATTAAAGAACACAAATTAATTGAGTTTCTAAAGCCTTATTTTGTAAATGACTACCATTCACGCACAGAATGCATCCTGTTAATGGAAGTCTTATAATAAATGCAGCAGACAGTGGCTGTGATTAACTATAATATTTTTTTTCTTTAACAGAGGTTCAAAATTAGCTGTTGTCTTCAGATACAATCTACTAAAAATACTGAATCTTAATCAGATACCTGAAGTGACTCCTAAACTTCAGTTTAAGATTTAATTCCAGACTGTAAAGCTTCTGCAACGATACCTCCAACAGCAAACCGAGCACTTTTGCCCCAAAATGAAACCACAGAAACGTCACCAACAATAGGTCTTTATTACTCTGTTCTGTCATTGTGAGGGAAAGAGGAGAAAAAGGCCAAAAAGAAGTAGCCAAGTTGCACCTCTTTCAATCTCAACAGCAAAGAAAGGATGTTTCTGAAGAGGGACAGTCCTCTTTTGAAATAAATTGAACATCTGTAAGCTATTATAAGGTAAAGATTAAGTTTAATCCATTATTTGATTCACTTTCATTTGTGTAACAGTTTTAAGAAGCAGCGAATCCATAAGTCAAATGACAGGAGCAGGAAAGGTCACTGTCCCTATTAAAAAAACACTAATTCAGAAAATTTATTAAAATCTCAAGGTACAGTTTAAGAAAGCTGAATGTACAACATCCATCTTAGCTTGAATTCTCCTTGAACAGAAAAATGTACACATACTCCCTCAGTATTTAAGATGTGTTCATAACCTGTGGAAAATAAAGCAAGCCAAGTATTATCCACAAAGGAGCACTCCAGATGATATAAAAGGCTACTGTGTGAGGAATAAGAAAAGGTTTTCGTCTTTGGAAGCTGCCAGATCAAATGGAGTCATATGAAGAGTAGAAACTCAGAAGATAATTCTGAGTCAGTACACAAAAAAACCCATCCTTGAGTCAAAGTTAAAGTAAGGGGATTATATCGTATATTAAAATTCTGGTCTCTTTGAATTGAGCTCTGACTCAGCAGACAAAGATCCTGATACAGTTAATTCATTAACATTTCTGTGAGAGATATAAAAGCTACTGCGAAATCTCATCCCTTCTGCACTGATGTATTAAGTTTGCTGTATTAACTGATGCAGTGGCACCTCTAAGCTGGCAGCTAAGATATGATCTGGTAGTTTAACAACAAAACCTTTGTATAAAGTACTTACCCGAGCCAAAGAGTTCATTGTTGTCATACAAAATTACTCATGATAAAGACCACCCCTGTGACACACAGGATTTCTTCAAATGGATTTCTTTAAGTACACACACAAAAACGGAACCACAAAAATTGACTCTTTTTGGTCAATAAGATATTTAATTAAATTAAAAAAGAAAGTAAGCCCAAAAGACATTCCTAACATTTCTTGACCAATCTACCAGTAGAGGGAAACATTATGCTGCTACTGGCCCAGCACATAACAAAGGGACATGTAATTAGTGCACTGTCCTTTCAATGAACAAAACCTCTGGGAGGAGTTTAATTTTTGTCACCCTTTCCAGTGCAAAAAAGCAATCCTTTTATTTAAATATTGAACAGTTAGCTGCTGGCACACAGTCCTGAGAATACACTGTGCAGACACTTTCAGTAAAACATGACAGTTTACTTAGCCAGCATAATGTTCAGATGTCTGCATTTTAATTATGCAAAAAACCACGTAACACCAAATTAAAGAAATAATGGGTAAAAACGTGTAAAGGCAAAAGTCTTTGCATTAATATTTAACCAGACTATATGTGAGAAAATTCTTATGCTAACAGGTACTTTGGGTGCATTTGATTTTATTCAAAATATGCTATTATATCCTGAGTTCACAAAAATGTCTGATGATACTCAGTGGCCTGGTGCTAACATTAAGCTCTCTATAAAATGTACAGACGTAAACTGCACACAGGGGAAGTTCTTGATTCTTAATTGGTCTTTCTCCAGTTACGTATTCAATACACTTTGCATTCCTTTTAAATCACTGGAAACAAATGCTTCATACCTAGAGAAAAAAAAAATTCCACAGTGCTCAGAATTAAAAGACTCCTGAAAAAGTTGATAAATGGCATTAAAGAGGTTATGCAAACAGAGAGAGGAAATATGGATGAAGCAGCCACGGCTGGTCACGCCATAATCACGATGGGTGAAAATCCAAAACTTCTCTCATTGAAGTAATAAATTTACATATTCTCCATCCCAAAAATGCAAAAGACTAGGTGGTTCAAAACCACAGTTCCGTTGCAGAGGTCCTGGACAAATCCAGGAAGCTGAGGGTTGTACCACTGAATTACAACTAAGATATGCCAATACCAGGCAAACCCAGCTCAAACCAAGTTCATGCATGTGTGCTCTGAGAAGGCTACACTGCTTGTGTTTCCAGAATTAACGCTTCCAAAAACAGAGAAAATGAGACATAAGTGCAGGGTAGGACCATGATGAATGTGTACAAAACTCAAGTGAGGGAATTCCCAAACAAGCAGTTCTCACTTGCTGTTTCTATACAAGGGAGTAGAAAAGAAAATAATGCATCAGGAGTTTAAAACCAAAAAGCAACCCCTTGTTGTTAAACTGAAGGATGCTGTGGACACCAATAATTTACATGGCTGTAAGAAATGAACTGGAGAAATGGTGAGAAAAAGAAGAGAGGTTCTTGTGGATACAAGCACAGGGTATCCATCTCCTGGGGTTCCCCAACTCCAAGAACCACAGTCATGGAAAGCCTGCGAAGTTTTCTGGGGAAGAATTGCTATCCCCTTGCCCTGTTCTATATTCCAAAACTGAGTACTGCTGCTAAACCTTACTTAAACTACACAGAGTTTATTCCCATCATTTGGATGGTACAGTCCTAATGTTTAGTGAGGTTTTGGATGGATTAAAAATAGCAGGCTATAAGAGGAATAAACTACAGACAGACCTCTGTTTCTATTTACATAAATTATCTCAATAATTCTAGATATAATTCTTCTGAAAGTGCTACATAAACAGATTGACTACTCCTCTGAATTTTCAACTGCATTGCATGCTAATTATTTATAAAGATGACAGCCAACTATTGAAATTGCACTCATAGTATTAAGAGGTGAGAATAGTAAAAATTTAGTAAAGTTGCCAGTAAGC